TATATATATATATAAAATTTGTAACAATATCACAGGAGGGAGAGGTGTTTTGTTCTAATTTTTGTTTTGGCATGCTATATGGAGGAGATCCTGTACTCTTTGTTTAGAGCTTCCATCCCTGGTGAAGCCTATAGTGCTACATTAGCTGTGGGTCGAATAGAGTCTCTGGTTGCCTTGGGTGCTGAAGATTTTTTTGTGACTATTGAACAAAGAGTGTACTAGAGTTATAAAATCAGAGGCATCTGGAGTGATCTTACTATTTACCCCTCAGAATCCTTCCAATTTTATAAGTCCAGTACAGATGTTGTTCAACAGTTGCAAGCCCTGATGAAGGGGGACACTTTGAACCCATGAAATAAGTTGGAGTTTTATGATGTACGAGCCTGAATAAATTTGAATCAGAACTTTATACGTTCTACTTTTGGCACTTACGTTCTTGCGTACCCAGCAATAAAATCCTGATACAGGTTACAATGCTTCTTACTGTATTGAAGATTTTTTTTTTTTTACCTGCCTGTTTCATTTGGGAAGATTTGCACTCACTTCCTGTTTTGTCTGACACCATCAAACAGATAGGATGCAAGGAGAAATCTTTTAACTCTTCCAAACTTTATCTGAAATTAATGAAAAAAGTTAGACCTGAAAGATAGAAAAGAATAAGAGCAGGGTCTGCATGACAGGGTGGACATGGAGACAGGGACAAAGGGGCTAAAAGGTTCTGTCAGTTGTTTTAGGTAGATAACTTACCTTACTGGTTGAGGAGTGGTTCTTGGTGAGGTTTCATGTATGGGCTGAGGAGATAGAGAGTACCTTGATTCTTTGTGGTCAATTAGAATGGAGCTACCGTTATTTTATGGAGTCAGTCTCTGCAACATTTTGTGAATTGTCCCCAAGGCGGTGTGCTGCAGCTGGGGTCAGTCTCTGCAACAATGTGTGAGTTGTCCCCAAGGTGGGGTGTTGCAGCTGGGGGCCTAATTAGGTAATTTGATCCGCAGAGACTGTGGAGAGTTGGTGGTGGTGCCTTCATAGACCTGCAATCTGATTTGCTTGGGAAATTAAACCTGTCAGTTTGTATTTATCTTGTTCTCTTGTAATAAAAGGGCCCCTATGGCCATTTAATTCCAATTTAGGTTGATCTGGTTATTTCAGGGTTATATAAGGGAAAGGGGTTGGCGTGGCAGGTCCTTAGGGGGGTGGACTGGGACATATGGCCTACCCTTGTTATGTTTTAGCTAGAGTAAGGCTTGAATACACCTTTGACCAATAGAGATATATGACTATAAGCACCTCTAGGGCAAGGACTGATGTGAATGCTCTCTGTAACACACTCTGAAATGTGGTGTATTGCCACTGTTTAAATATGGAAAATATAATAAATGTTTGCATTACCAAGATCTGTCAATATGAAAGCCCAGTTGGAACTGAGCAGTGTACACTGTAACAGGTCTATTCACTAAAGGTTGAAGAGTTTGGAGAAGACAGGAGAAGTGAACAATCTAGGCCAAAATAGCTGATTTGGAAAAATTCTCCAATTCAGCTCACTTTCCAGTTCAACTTTGTTGTCCTAGATTGTTCACTTCTCCTGCCTTCTCCAAACGCTTCACCCTTTCGTGAATAGACCTGTAAATAAATATATGTTCTCAGTTACCATGACCCTTTCATTGATTGCTGCATTTTTCTGAAACATCTATATTTTACAGCGACAATACATTGCAAAGGTTGTTATAGTAACATGTTATTTTTCTTACAGATATATATGGATCTGCATTGGCCAGCTGTGAATCCACTGATACACTTCCCCGAAGCTGCCAAATTACAACAGATGTGGATCAGGTCACACAGGTGCTGGATCTAACAAGGTTACGTCCCAGTGAATCACGAGACGATGCGAGGCTCGGGATCTCAGGGGATGGAGGTACTGTGTTACATACAATGCTCAATATGTCTTAAAGAGACAATATCACTACTTTAAACATAACAGCCACAATGCATGCTTTACAATTAGTAAAGGAGAACTTAGACTGGGAGCACACTGCCGTTATTTTCCTAGTGAGAGTGCTCTACTAAAATTGCCTGCTATTGCCATGATTCATCGCTAGCAAGTACTACACATGAAGGTGACTATAGTAGTGATTGATTGCACACATTTGGAGTATTGTGTTATCACTTGGGATTCATCCCTACATCGTACACTCCATTGTTCCCTATTTGTAGTGACTGATTGCTAATTGCTAGTAATTATTCCTTGGGTGATGATTGCTGTAGGAAATATACAGCAACCTACACTGTGCAAATTTCGTCCAGTTCTTTATGAACCAACCAAAACTCATTCAGTGGGTGTCCCTGTCAGCACCTTTCCATCCAGCATCCTTTGATCAGAAAATCAAAAGAGCCGGAGTGAACATTTTAACCCAATAAGCTGCCGTCACTGTTTGGATACTCACGGCACGCCCACCACTGTCAAAATGCAATAGCCCGGCGGGAGATTAATCCATGCACATAAACCTGAAAGAGGACCATTTACAATTTATGCAAGAATCTAAATATTCATGTGCAAGCTTACTCATTAAGGTTTGACATTTCCTCCCTTTAGCTTTCCTAGTTTGCCTCAGACTGATTCCTGGAGTAGAGACTCACAGCAGGGTTGTCACCAGCAGGCAGACAGTTGCTGTCATGTAAACAATTCTACCTCATCCTGATGTACTGTTTACTAAATAAAATAAAGAAGAGAAGGGATAAACCATGAGGGAACAATAGGATTGCCTCCCTGAATATATGAGCGAACGGCACATTCCAATCATCTAGCTGATTGTACACTGATTTCCATAACATGCAGTCTTAAGTTTTTCATACATAATAAACATTCAAATACATTCAAAGGCATATAAAATAAAACCTGCGCGCTATGCTGTCATATGAAGCCAATATATGCACTAGTATTTACCACTGGAAGTACCAATGCATGGAATCTTGTACATTGACTGATGTTTAAAGCCTGTCCACACAAAAGATTTGTGTATTCTCAGTACAATACTGTATATGGTTCCCCGAGGCATTTTAGAAGGTTTAGTACGGTCTCATTTAAAGGAGAACTATGGGGTTAAGGCTTTTCCCCATAGTTCTCCTTAGGGTAACGGGAGGACACAAACTAGCGTCCTCCCGTCACCCTAGGCTCAGTATACCGCGAGCAGTAGCTCGCGGTATACTGAGACGCCGCAGCTGAAGCGGATCCCGACAATTGTGCCGGGATCCGCCCAGCTGCGTGACAGACAGCTGGATCTGCCTATCTAGAGGCAGAGCCAGCTGTACCCGCCCCCTCCCCCGTCCGTTCCGCCAGTCAGAGCTGGCGGATCGGAGCGGGGAGGAGGGAATCCAGCCCCTCCCCTGTCACGGCAGAGAGCCGTGACAGGATCGAGAGGTGAGCGAACGCCGGTATCTGTTCGGTCACCTCCCGATCTACTGAGCCGACCTGCGACAGTCTCATTGTCACAGGTCGGCTAGAACTATGAGGTGAGTGAAAAGCACTCACCTCATAGTTCTCCTTTAACAGTAGCATGTGTGCATATGAAAATGCTTAGGCAGCCTAGTGAATAACTGTGCAGAAGTGAAGTCAGCCAAACGCAGGTCGGCTATTCCCTTTACCACGGTACGCTGATTTAATTTAACTTGGTTATTCTCCTCTGAGGTAGCGAGCAGATAACAAAATGTAAACAAAAGTGAAAAAATTATAAAAAAAAAAAAAATACATAGGGTTCTCCGCCAAAGTCATACCAGGCCACATGCCACCTGGAAAAGCACCTTGTCCCTGTGCCGATGGGGACAAGGGCCTCTTCCTCACAAGCCCTGAGGCGTTGTTTGTTGGGGTCTGCGGGCCAGGGGGCTTATGTGCATCGGGGTACCCCCTTTAATAAAGGGGGCACCCAGATGCTGCCCTCCCTTTGTGAATGAGTAAGGCGTTCACTAAAGGGTTAAAGAATAATGTAAAAAAAAAACACACGTTAAAAAAGTCCTTTAATTAAAAAAAAAACACAAGAAAGGTTTTTGACAATTCCTTCAATAATTTTTTTTTTTTAATGTATCCAATGAAGTAATCCACGTCAATCACGGCGTTCAGTGTTGTCAACGATGCTGCTGACTGGCTCTGCCCAGTTGTTTACATTTGCAGAGAGCCGAGTCGAAGCATATGCGTACGGCTCGGCTGAACCGTTCGCCTGCCTTTGGCTTCTGTACGGGCTATTGTGAATAGCCCATGCAGCAGCCCTTCAGTTTGATTCAACTGGAGGGCTCCGGCGGCTCCTTCGTGAATAACCCTCTCAATATTGGTCCCCAGAGAAAGTTTTTTTTGGTTAAGCCAGGGCTTAGATTGCTTATATGCAGATACTGGAGGGTACGTTGTAATGCATTTTGTGCACGTGTGTATGTGTACACACAGATGCTAAATTCCATGAACATTGATTTTGGCCATGTGGGAATCAATGCACAGACATATCTACATATACATTATTAAATCAGGCCCGCTGACTCCCAGCTCCCAGCAGTTCCAGTGGAATTTCATACTATTATGCTTACTCCGGAGCTAGAAGATTGTGTGTCTAAAAAAAACATGAGACCAGGTAGCTGATAGGGTAGCAACTGTCAGACCTCAATAACTCTCCCATCTCTAATTCTCTCAAAAGTATATTTAGCAAAAAATAAGTTAAATAAGGAGGGAAATATAAACCTTTCATAAGTAAACATGCACAATTATAATAATTTTTAAACCCACCCTTTACTAGTTCGCCTTCCAAAACAACCCTAGGCAAGAAGTAAACTCGACAAGCAACTAATTCTATTCACCATAAGAAAGTATAGACAGTTTTATTTGAGTTTTACGTAATCCATCTCTGCCAGATTTAGCAGATTTCTGGGTGGGACTGTCTTCTGTCCCATTAGTCTATAATGCCCAACTGCAGAGCACAGGGTTTAGAATCAGGGAACACTCACACTTCAATTTCCCTGCCTCAGAATCAGGTCATTTAAGACAACAAAGATAAAGACAACAATAGGGAATGAAAAAAGGTAGGCTGTGTCTCTCAAGTAAGTTATTAAATACAACATTTTCATGTTTGTATAAACTGTACCTTTAGATGTTTACCCTTATTAAATTGTAATTTCATGGGCTGAGTTGACATTTAAACAGTTTCTCGCTATTTGTATCATCACAGAGCTAGTGAACCCTAATGGCTTGATAAAACAGCCTGCTGCGCTTTCCATTCTGTACTACTAGTTCCATGACCTCCCCCAGACTCCTGTATGAGGAGGCCACCAACTTTCTGCTGAGATAATAGACCTTGCACAGCGGTAGAATACCTCAGCTTCTTAGAAGTTCTGCATATATTGTGATACATTTCTATAACAATCTCAGCAAGAAAAACACACTCAATGTCTTCATGTCATTTTAAATCATTTTAAATCTATAGCTGCTTGATAAATTCTTAGAAACAATTTGACTTGCAAATAATAATAACAAATTTCAAAAGGTTTACTTACATAATGCATTTTCAAAAAAGGTTATGTTATTTAAAATAGTCTAAAAAGATTTTCTTTATAGACTTGCCTTGGTAAAATGGTAGCAGAAGTTTGGGCTAAAATTGGGGGCAAGACCGAATCTAGCATGGCAGGCCAGTGTTTCATAAACCCTCAACATTCATATAATATAATCATGACTAGTCTTTGTGCTGAGGACCTCCTGTACTGTGGTGATAAATACCCCACATTTAAGGAATAACTGCCCTAGCAGTCTCATATATAAGGTAGCGTTAAACCCTCCCGTCAAGCAGTAGATATAGGCAAACAGTTTAAAAAAAAAGAAACCCGCTAAAACAGCGGTTTAAACTTACCTTTTTTTCTTTGCGTGCTCCAGCCCGAGAAAACGAAACTGTTCGGGTGGCCGCAAAGCATCTTGGGGCGGGCGCATGCACAGTTCCGATTCTCGGCCGGGAGACGAGCAGAGACGCAAGGTAAGTGTATGGACGCGTGCACCCACGCTGGATCGGAGGGCCGCCGCACCGCTGGAGGGACAGATGAAAACATCAGGAAAGAAGAAGAAGATCGGAATAAGAGACATCATTTAAGGTAAGTGCTAACATTAATATGGGGGGGGGGAGGGAAAACATTGTTTGACTTTAATGTGTTTAAGATTCATTTTGATTTCTGCATAGAGAACAATTTTTTGTCCATGCTTTTGTTGTAAATAGTATGGTATAGATATGCTTATCATGCTAGCTTTGTGCTGCTGGAGCCCCGAGTTTGATTCCCACCAAAGATGTTCTCTGCCTTGGGTTTGTCTGTTTTTCTTATGTCTATAAGTTTTCTCCTAGTTACATAGTTACATAGTTGTATTTGAGGTTGAATAAAGACATAAGTCCATCAAGTCCAACCTATTGTGTGTATGCATTTATGTTTGAGCAGGTGTGTGCGTGTGTATTAGTCCATGTGTGATTTAGGTGCATTTGTACCCCTGTATATTATGGTCTCCGAGGAACTCTTCCAGGAGTTTCTTGAATGATTCCACACTCTTAGCTGAGATCACTTCCTGCGGCAGCGAGTTCCAGACCTTAACCGCTCCGACTGTGAAGAACCCCTTGCGCCCTGTGTGTTGAAATTTTTTTCCACCAATTTTTGGTTGTGCCCTCTGGTCTTTGTTATGGAGCTAACCGTAAACAGTTTGTTAATAATGTTGCTGTCACCCTTGTATAGTTTATACAGGAAAATCATGTCCCCCCTTAATCTCCTAACCTCCAAAGAGAACATATTTAATTTTAACAACATTGTTTCATAGTACAGGTCCTCGAACTCCGCAATAAGTTTGGTTGCCCTTCTCTGGCCTTTTTCCAGCTCAAGGACATCCTTTCTGAGTATCGGTAACCAAAACTGAACCGCATACTCCAGATGTATACTCCTGCATATGAAAGACATACTAGTAGGTAAAGTGGACTTTGGGTAAAAATACAAGGTCCATTTATCGTCTGTTCTGTCACCCCTGGATACAAAATTCAAATTGAAAACTATAAAGGGATAATAAATTATAAAACAAAAATACAAATTTAGCTTACACCCCAGCATCTGCTGAGTTGGTCTAAGAGAGAGTGACATCACTGAACCTTCTCTGGGGATTCTGGGAAAGATGAGGAACCCAATCCACTCCTTAAGGGTGTTTCAGTGTTTTCTCAGTAGATGTTGGATTCTCAGCTCTTTGGATGGAGAGAGATGTCATGTCCACAATAGAATCTCCCATGTTTCTCATGTTTCTCCAAGGAAAGGTATACTTTAAAGCAGATCTTGCATTACAATGGAAAATCCACTTATTGCTAATTAAACCCCTCTACCCCCCCTCCATTCTTCAAATTTGAAACATAAAAGAAAAAATACCCACCTTACATCCTGGTTAGATTCCTACTTGTGTGTCGGTGATTGTTCATTGAGGAATCTTAAGCTTGCACAGGAACCTCCACTGAACACAAAGGTCCCCAAGGCATATATTTTGGATATTAGGAGGTAGAGCTGATTCAAGTGTTTTGGACTTCAGTGGCACATTGCACATCAATAAAAAAATAATTTTTGTAAAGAAAAATTTCAAATACTTGACTTTTCTGTGCTTCTCTCAGTAAGAGACAAGGTCTCCATGTAAACTGCTACAATAAAAGCAGTAGCCTGTCTCTACAGTTCTAATACTTGCTTATCCCTGCTTTGATTTGGGGAACAGCAAGTCATGTTCCATGACTTATTACTTTCTGGCCTGGTAGAGCCTACATGTTGATGGAAGCTCAGTATAAAATGAAATCTACCTTTAACGCTCATGGTTTGTCACTTGCTTTCTAAAGGCAAGATCTTGAGTTGGCAACCACTATACATCAGCATAACAGCTTTTACTGGCAGCCGGCACGGTGATAAAGGAGAGGCTTTACAGACAAGGTGTGGGTACCGGGAATGAAGTATATTGCCTGTCAGGATGGACTCGCTGTGTCGGCTGCTGTCACCGTGATTGAATATATGCTCTGGATCTACAGGACTGTCACACGACATGTTATAAATACACGCTGTACAGAGTCACTTAATGAGACTTCATTGTTCAGAGTGAACCGGTCATTTAAAAGTTCCCAGCATAACTGGAAAAAGTTTATGCAGAAGAGAACATTGCATACCTGTAGGGGTACCACACCCAACAAATGTACAAAGAATTTTATATAGAAAGGGAGATATGGACTTTTGAGGTGCCCACCACACAATACAACCATTAAGACTAAATATTTAGTTAATGTTTATAAGTTAGAAACAGATATCAACGTTTGCACTTATCCAAAGCATCCAATCATATTATGAATTTTATTAGTTTGTTATGTCAGAACATTGAAAGATGGTTGCTAATTGGATGTAAAGGTCTGCTTGAGTTTACCTAATAGTCTACTCCTTGTTAGAATTTCTGAGTGCATTTTGCAGTTCTCATATCTGATAGTTTGCCTGCTGCGCCCTCACATCACTGATCTAAATGAGAGACTTGGCATATGTAGTAAATTATTTCTGTAGTATGAATAATAATGTTAACATTGCTGTGATTTTCAACCCCCGAGTTGTTGTGCCTGCTTTTGTTGATCAGGTGAGATTTGAAGGATTTTAAACGCCCGGCTCTAATTGAACTGAGTCAGGTCTTGTTATTTAATAGAGGAGTTCAAGTCACTAATGACAGCATGCACTGCTCCACTGAGTTTGCATCAAAACCAATCATTTACTTTAAAATTACAAGAGCAGAAATATATTTATTTCCTTCACAGTAGTGTTAGAGGTTCACGATCATAATTTTAATTAAATAAGTTTTGAAATTCACTTCAAACGTTTTAAAGTTTCCTTAGTTTAAGGAGATAGATTAATCAAGAAACGGAAAAGCTTTTTTTTCTTTATGAAAAATGATTTCAAGCCTGCCTGCCTAAAGTGGTTACATAGAAGGAAAAGATATGTTGTTGTATTAAAACAATATAAATTACAGTACAGCCTATCAGTTTATAAAGAACCAGTGACGTCACTGCAGAAGCCATTTTGTTAGCTATATGTAAGCTACAAGAATCCAGTTATGATGTGGATTTTTGATGTACTTTACATGGCCAGAGGTTTGTGGACATCTGATCATTACCCCTTCCTACAGTATATAACCAAAAGTATGTGCACATGCTTCCAAACTATTGAGTGCAGCTGTTGCCAGTGAAGGGTACTGTTAATGTTACTGCACACAATGGGTCGCAACCCCTTCTTTAGTTGGTTGTGGTGTCCTTAGTCCATAGAGCTGGCCCTCCTTCCCCATTCAGCAGGGAGACAGATTGGGGACTTTTTGTGGCAGTGTGCAGGAGACTCCAATGTATTACGAAACAGTTCCCTCTCTTCTTGGCCCCCCTGATGAATTGATAGGGCCCAGGGAGACGGGGGACTATTTAATCACTTTCAGCCAGTGGAGTAATAGCGGATAATTAAGTTAAAGTTTCAGCCTGCACTGTGAATTTCAAATAGGGAGTACAGCCTGCCCAGAGACCGTGGAGGCTGAGAGAGGTAGGCAGGCTGGGAGAGGTGTGCAATATTTTTTATAATAATGGGTGGTGAACAGATAAAGACAGATCATAATGTCCATGCTGCTAGCTCTTTCCCTGTCAGTGCAGAAGGCTGGGGGGGTTTCATCAGCAGGGGCTCCGCTGCTCATTTTCTACAGGTGATCTGGGCGGCTGTAAAATAACATTTAAAATTAATTTTAAAAAATGTAAAAATTAAAATCAAGCCCGCTGTCCCACCATCTGCCTGCAAATAAACACGCGTGCGGGGGGCATGCATGTGTATGTAAACGACAATTGCACCACACATATTAGCTATAACCGCGAACATGAAATTATTTTTGGGTCGAGACTTAATGATCAACGGTAAATGTCTAAAGTACACAATAGTCTAAAACTACTGTTTTAGACTATTGTGTACTTCCCTTCCAGTAGTTTGTAAAAGGTCATTTTCTGTTCCAGTATGATTGATCCCCGATTCCAAGACCATAAAGATATAGTTTGATGAGTTTGTTGTGGGGGGATCCAAAGTGACTGGCACAGATTCCTGACCACAACCCTATTGGACTCCTTTAGAATGATTTGGAGCAGTTATTTCAAGCCAAACCTTCTTGTCCAATATCAGTAACCAGGCTAACAAATGCTCTTTTGGTTGAAGGGGCACCAAATCCAACAGAAACACTCCAAAGTCTTGTGGAAAGCCTTTCAGGCACGTGGGGAGCACTCCATCTCCACAAAGGGGGGCAACTCCATCTTAATGCTCAAAGTTTTGCAATGGTACGTCCAACAAGCCTAGATATGATGGTCAGATGTTCACAATCTTATGGCCATATAGTGTGTCTGGTAATGGTAATAATATTAAAGAATTCCAGATTCAGACAGAAGAGCAGTATGCATTTACATGACCATTTGTATAAAGAAAAAGAAATGATGCAGGATCTATTTTTTCATGCATTGCTGGGCATTGACAGCCCGTTCTGTATACAATACACTTTGAAGTGCATTGCAGCTCACTGCCTTGTGGTGTTAATGGGTCCTAATTTTGAAATTACTGTGGGATTTGTGAAGGGGAAACGTTCTGATATCAATAGTGCTTTCTGATGTTCTTTAACTACAATATATTGGGAAAAACATTGGTTCAGTGAATCCATCTGACTGTCTTGTATAGGGCCACAACATCATTTTTCTACTTGATGTAGAAATTATTTGTCAGCCACTTTGCTAACTGTGTTTGTTCCTTTGTATAAATGCTTATTATTTTAAGAAAATGAGTACTGGTTGATCTTTTTGCCTTCTATATAACTTTGTTTTTGACAGATTCCATCAGCAGCAGAGGGCAGTGTAGCTCTCAAGATATAAGGAAAGCCCACCAATCTCACATTGCTTTTGGGTCCAAGGTTTCAGGTCCTCCACCAGCCACTGGGAGAAAAAACAGTGCCAGGTCACCTACAGAGGTATGTGGATATAGATAGTATATAGATAGATATGTGGATATAGACAGTAAGAGTTTAAAGTGCTGCACAGAGATGAATGAGCCTTAGTGGCATGTATGACCCATTGGTTCATAATTGTGTACCTGATTAAGGCTAATTACTGTACATCAGGGGTAGTTGTAATGCTACCGCGCTCGTGCTGACGAGGGGTGCCCGCCTTTTTGGGTCTGGTTTAGAGTACTGTACGTACATTACAGGAAGATGGCTCTTGCTAGACATGCAGACGACGGGTGCCCACCTGTTCTTTCAGGTCACTGTGAGGTTTTTAATGCTGTCTGTATCCTCATTAGAAAGATTTAATCTCACTTCCTGTCCTTTAGACAACAGAAAGTGGAAAGAAAGGTAACCCTAGGAAGGGAAATTCAATCCTTTAAAAGTTATCATGGGAAAAAGGAAGTCTCCACTGAAGCTTTATCACCAATCCTTGTTTCCACAACAACCCAATATTTTCAAAATCCAATTGTCACAGGGAAAGAAAGTGAGGTGAAATCTGCAGAACAGGGGCACACACAGCAAAACAAACATTACAGGGGGTAAACCCTTCCCTATGCTATCCAAAACAAAACAAAAACATATTTTGGCTGGAGTTACACTTAAAAAATGTACCGGTTCCAACTTACATACAAATTCAACTTAAGAACATACCTACAGTCCCTATCTTGTTCGTAACCCAGGGACTGCCTGTATTTTAATCCTAAAGGAGCAGTAATAGTCACTAGCTTAGTCAAGAGTAGAATGAATGCTGCTGGCAGGGAACATACTGAGAAGGGAGTATATACCTAAAATTCTTCTTACCTATTAAACTCTTGTGTGCTAAGTTCTACTTGCACATACTGTATATAATTAAGACAAATGTATTTGCTCTCTGAAATGCTTGGTTTTTCTGCCCCTCAACCTTGAGCACAGTGTATATTTGTATTTCTATCATACTCCACAGTAAAACGATTGAATAAAGACAGGTGGATGGAGTGGAGAGAGGGTTAAATATCAGTCACAATTATGTCTCTGTTCGGTCATGCCCATCTTATTGGTATATGCTTAAAAATGTAGACAAACCCAGAGAGAATTGGCAGAGGGGTTGCATGACTGGGGGGAGGAATAGTCCCTGGAGAAAGGGTTTAAAATAAAAAGGGGATTAGCTGAGCCTACCTGATTGTAGGTTGGGGTCAGGTGTCTGGGAGGAGCCGCATGGGTTGGAACTGGAAGGGCTGGTCGAGCGTTCTTTCCAGAAAGTCGACAGAGGAAGCAGGTTGTCCCACCCGCCCTCCCTTAATTTTGTGTGGTTTCTGGTGGTTATAATGTCCTTTTTATGTCACGGCAGCTTGACGGGTTAGGGGGTCTTTGGGGGGTCTGAAAATCTCCAAGTCAGTTACACAAATGAGGGGGCAATCCGCTGGTATGGGTGTTTCCACCAGTGGGTGTCAGTATTTGTTGGGGGGCCTGGCCACTTGGAATTTGTGAGCAGTAACTGTCCTCGAGCTGGTTGGGGTGCGGCTGGGGACTTGGGAGCAGTTTTTAGTAGAGGCCTTATTTGGGCTGTTGGGCACCCAAAGACCCCTTCTAGGATCCAACAGTCGTTAAGATTATTTATTTGTATATTATTTTGTGTATTACTTTGGTTACTGTTAACTGTTTGGTTAATAAAAGGGCTGCTGGGGCCATTTAAATCCATGTCATACAGTCTGTGTGTTTATTCAGACTGTATGACTGTTTATTCTTTATTATCAACAAATCCACCAGTCATGTGGTTTGTTCTTGATTTAGTCAACAAGGTCTACAAGCAGACATGAAAAATCCTTACCACAGCTGTCCCCAGAGAAGGGAATTGGACCAGATACAAGCATCTTGTCACCGAAACTGACTCCACTTTCAGAACAAAAGAACAAAGAAAACTTACAGCAGGCACAAAGAAAAGACATACAACGTCAAGGTAAGCAACACACTTACTGTATGTGAACTGACAGGCAACTGTTTTCTTTAGAGTTAACAGCCCCTTTAATTATTGCAACCTCCACATATTTAGGACCTTGCACATAGCATTTGTATAACTATATATAAAACTTAGTAATGTTTATATTACTTCTCCTGTGTAGTAAAATGTCCTCATAGCTGAGGTCAAATATCAATACCATTCATAAAGTGGCACCACTCCATTCAAGAACTTACTGTAATTCTTACCCACTTATAGCTTTTGTCAGAATAATATATCAAAGAGCCATAAAGAAAACATACTTTTTTTTTTTAAGCCCGTGGAGCGTGCATCGAAAAACAAACATCCCCATGAACAAAAAAAGTGAATAGTAAAATCACTACACACTAAAAGAAAGTGCACAAGGGTGCTGTGGTCCTTCTCTAGCGAGAAGGGCCTCAAATTCCTGAATACCCCGGGGTGCAAGGCTCCTGACAATGGCAAGGACGACTCAGGTCCACCTACCCGAAGGCCGGCAGACCCCTCTCCTCTGGGGCCTGCCGAAACAGGTCCACCAAGTACTAGGTGGGAGCTCCCCGAAGAGAGACCCCGAGTTGGAAGGGGCAGGGAAGCTCAAAGAGGCCACAGAACCTGAAGGTACCCGCACCCTCCGTCATTCTGTGAAGTCAAAAAGTGCAGTCGTGCATAAAAATTGTGCTTAAATAAATAAGTGCCAGTGCACAAACATGGCAGTCCATCCGGCCAAGGTATAAACATTTCCCCAGGCTAGCCAGAAGGCCATCCAAAGAGGCGTGGTGCAGAAAAAGGCTTGAGTGCTGTGACCTACTGCTCGTGAATCAAGTGGGGTCCCAAACCCAAGTGATTTTCTGGCACACCCTGAGCTCCACTCCCAGGGGGCACAGTACCGCTTCTGCGCTCCCCGAATCCTCCTGCCAGACACATGCCTCCCTATCCCTACCAGAAGGCCTTAGCACCAGGGGGGCTCCTACCTAAAACTGGGGACAAGCCCGGCATAACCAGAATCAACCCAGGAGGAAAGGAAAACCCTCCGGAACCCACCTATTAGAGCAGGGATTACTAGATCACCATCTCCCAGGTGAGAATGATGTCGTTCCTCCCTGGAAACTGACAGAACAAAATTTTTTTCTTTTTTCGAGCCCGTGGAACGTGCATCAAAAACTATCCTCATCCAGTACCCCACCAATTACGCCAAAGTACCCCACCAATTACATCAAAAACTATCCTCATCCAGTACCCCACCAATTACGCCAGGAATTACTAAGCAGCCATCACCCTCTCTCCATAGGCGACGACTGCCGTTCTGTCCCCGACAACTGATAAGAACAGATACTACACTTGATCTTAGCCAAAAGGCAGAGAAGCAGTTACAAGGGAAGGGTGGATTTAGTCTTTTTTGGTAGCAGCACTGGAACCAGAGCCCACTGTTTTCTTTAGTGTGGGAAGCCTATTTAATTATTGCAACCTCTGTGAATCCAGGGCCTTGCTCATAGCATGTGTATAGCTACAGTATATATGTAGTAATTTGATCATTTTAATGTTTATATTATTTTTCCGCTGTAATAGCTGAGGTAATGCATTATTACCATTCAGTAAAGACTGATTCTGCTTTCTCTGCATTCCCCCTTGTATATTCCGTCTCATAAGAATACGCGCAAAACGATTCAGAATTATGAATCCATTGACTTAAAAATGAGGAAAATGCGCACATCAGGCAAAACGGAGTCAGAGATCTGTCATGAGAATGTAATTTCTTTCATGCCATGCCTTTTCTTCCATTGAGCCTGGAGGTTTATCACAGTTACATTGTAGAGAATATTAAATGATGTAAGCATAGAACCTTCATATCACTCTCGCTGCCCCAAGTAGGTGATCATCTAAGTCAGGTGCTTGAGGCACCAAGCCAAAGCAATGCCTGGAAGTATATACAAGTGAGCCATCAATATCAACAGCCCCGTACTTTCAAGCATAACACCAAAGATCAGACCTACTAAATGGAGCAAAGCCTTAAGGCACCTTGTGGCTAAATTGAGCTAATACAGCTGAGCCTGCCTCAGGCTTCTCACTGCTTAGCACACATGGTCCCATGTGTAGCCTGCTATGTGGAATCTGTGATATAATTGCAAGGACTAGGATATAAAAAGTACCTTATTTAGAATATTAAAATTCAATGCAGAAAATTCTTGTAACACTGGTATGTTTTTTTTTTTTTATGGCGAGGTATAACACAGTTAAGGTGTCCATGCACCAGGAGATACAATCTTCTTTAAATACGTCGGTAATTTTGGAGCACAATGGGAGGGTAGGCAATGCCCCTGTTTTTTGTCATTTATGAAGATTTTAGGGTACTTTTGGCAGACTTATTTTAAAGTAAACCTGTTATGAGAGAAACATAGTGATTGGCAGTGCCAACTTTCTTTTGAAAGTGCTAGCTGCCTAGCTTTTCATGTTGATTCACTGTCTCAATACTTTCTGACTTTTTTTATGTACATGGTCTTACCTGTCTTTTTTCTTTATTATATATAATGGGGGAGTACAATGGATTGGTGGTTGGCACATTCTTCCAGACTGGCATTTAGCCAAAAATTCATTTTGATATGTGCACAGCTCCTCCCAAGAGACAGCCCACTGCTTGCATCATGGCTGAGGGCCATTGGGAGGAGTACTGAGGCAGGGTGCTGTGATGTTTTCCAGAAGCTATGTATAGCACCTTGTCAGCCCCTCCCACCAACCATGATCTGCCTGCATTTCATAGAGTAGCACAAAAACCCAATGATGATGTCACTGCGCCCAAAATAGAGTATGAAATTAAAATGGAATGGCTTTATTTAAAAATGTAATTTGTATTTCAGGGCCCAAAATGCATTGTCACAAGTTTTTTCAAGATTTCAGCAAATAAAGTGACTAAAATGCATCCTGTCTTCAGATATATAATGTTTGGCACTCCTACAGGTTAACATATTCATAGACACTGACTCCGAAATAGAAAAGTTATTCTCAGAGTAAAATCATAAGTATTTATCTTCAAATTTGCTAAGGCTCAGTGACTAAATGTACTGAAACCAGAGTGTCAGCATGCCAGCCAAGCTACCATGATTTTCAGAAGTTGGTTAGAACTGGCAAGCCCCTTTATGTCTCTCACAACAGACTTATTGTTCATAATAATATTGTTGATATTGTGAAATGCTACTACTGAGCCTGTCACACCTAACATTTGGAGGCTTCTGGGTCCATTCCCACCTATGTATTTTTCCTGATGCATTTTCCATTGAAATCAATAAAAAGGCATCATGTCAACAAGCCATGATGCATGCACTGATGCACGTTGACATGTTGTGTACTGTGCTGTGTGATTTTTTTAATGCATTTATATTGATTTCAATGGAAAGTGCATCAGGGAAAAATGCATAGATGTGAATGGGCCCAGAAGATCAGTTATCTGTTAAGGTACTTGGCAACTGCAACCTTTTTAGCTATAAGTATGAATGTATTCATGTGTTACACATAGACTACCGGCCACATCCACCCCAGGAGCCGCCAACAGATAGGAGCAGAAGACTCAGGAGTGCAGGGAGGAAGGAGCAAACAAGACCAGCTCTTGGTAGGTAAAATGCACCACATTTTAACTACTGTATGCTTTATAAATCTTTTTAACAATGTTAAAATGAACTGATAAAATTAAATGATAACAGAAAATAAAAACACTGACTACAAAGATTATCAACAGTACCTGTTGTAACAATAAAGATATGATGAACTTAGATCTGACACGTTAAAGAAAAAACTTTATTAAGTTTAGTCATTGTTATTTTAATGTTATGTTTAAATAGTTAATAGAGTGATCTTTCATATTATGTTTTATGTTACAAATAAATAATTAACACAGTGTTTTTCATAATATATAGGTTAATGAGCATGCTAGACTTTCCTATAAGAAAGCCCATCACTGGTTGCTCATAGTCTGATCAGTGATTAATGGCCCAAGAATTATCACTCTCACTCCGACGTTCGCGGCGATATGTAACATGTGAGGCACAATAGGCTCAATCGTCGTTTTCACATGTAGACGCACCCGACGCATGTTTGTGTGTGTATGTGGGAGGCAGGGGACTTTAAAAAAATATTTTTTTTCTTACATTTTTTTTATGCTTCTTTATTATTATTTTTTTCCACTTAACTTTATTGCTATCACATAGGGGACTAAAACTCCCCCTATGTGATAGACAATTTACATGGCAGGTCCTCTTTATGGAGACATTAGGGGTCTCCAAGACCCCTAATGTCACCTAGGGACCCCCAGAGAAGCTGATGAAGCAGAGAACTGCTTCACCAGCTTCTCCCTAGTTTCTGAAGCTGGAGAGTGATAGCTGAATGTGGAAGTGATGTAATTTACATCGCTTCCTGCATTCGGGGACTGGAGAGGAGATCAGAGGGAGATCGTGTACCCAGCTCCCTTTGATCTCCTGTCACAGAGCAGCCGGACTGGCAACGGCAGTGACAGCGGTTAATACAATTGATCGGGCGTCTCTAGAGAGGCCCGATCGCTTGAATGTAAAGCTCCCGGCTGGCCGTTTAACGACAATGGCCAGCCGGAAAGTTACTCGTCGGGTTCCGGCGTCCTCTCGTCAGAGGACGAGCGGATTTTTCAAGCCCTGTACATATTATTCATAGCATATATAAACCACAACCATTGAAACACCTATCAGTGCCCCAGTGGTAATGGTTGGACATAGGTATCTTTAGGTTAGCTGGGTACTGCTCAAAATATTTCACTTTTGGCACTCTGTGTTGGACAAATCAGCTTCTCATGTGACTCTTCACATTCCATAGCTTGTCAGAGAACTCTCTAGAGATTATAAACAGATGAAAATGGAAAAGCTGCAGTCTCACAGAAGGGAGGGGGAGAGTGTGGGCTTAGCTGGTCAGGCAGACAGAGCTACTTGAACGCAAGTCTCTCTGGCTGTAAAATGACAGATTGAATTACTGCTCATTTTCTGCACAGTATGGAGTCAGGCACAGCTTGTATGAGAGGTATTTTCATACTTGTTACCCATATCCTGAACACAGGCTCACTGTACTTGCATTTTAATTTTTTTTTTAAATTGGAATGTCATGTTGCTTCCAAATCTTGTTTGAATCATCTCAGAAGCTGCCATTTCTAAAATCAGGGTTTCTAAATCTAACTCATCCCTATACACTGCAGAGGCTGGCAAGAGAGCAGTTAAAAAAAATAAGGAAATGCTAAGGGGGAAAGTGAGATGAGAACTTCTGTTTCTGTGTGAAGAAGGGCATCTCTGGGATCCCTGTAGCTGTGCTTGACCCTTGCTTATCCCTACAGCATGAAGATCTATAGGCATATTTTCTTTGATATATGTTTGTGCTTTGAAGAAGATGATTCAGAAGGCGTAAAGAGAATGTATAGTGTTTTGTACATTTTCTTTATTAATGTATCAAGTTTCTTACTAAACTGGTGCTTTCAAGGGTATTCTTTTACCAAAAACTCTTATTGAGTCGTGTATATTCACCTTGTATGTATTCTTGCATGCAAGTCAATATCAATACATTTGCTTATGCTATGCACATACAATTACAGATTGATATTACCTTGTATGTATTCTTGCATGCAAGTCAATATCAATACATCCAAAACATGTCCCATACTGATCTCAAACAGACCTCAGAGTGATCTAAGACCGATCACAAACATAAGCCATGTTTCTACTTTTGTCTTTCTACAGTATGTGCCTATGTAACCCTCTGCATGAGTCTCCTTTTTATTCAAAGCGAACCTATGCTTTCCCTCCAGCAGCATATACTCACAAGCAGGGAGCATGTGACCTCTACCCCATCTTCTTCTGTAACAGTGTGGTGCTTAGCAGTTGTCTGCTCAGTGACCAGTGGCATTACATGGGAGCAGGAAGATGGTCCTCAGCCCTGTGTACACTCCAGTTAGAATTGACTTGGGGTTTATACAGGGCTTCTTCTCCTTTCCTTTGGAGGTAAATAGGGAGCTAGGGAGCAAAGAAAAAAAGTGAGTGAGCATGTGCTACTGTTTGGGCCAGCTTTAAAATTAACCTGATTCTTTGTCCTGAATTGGCAAAGCACAGGTTTACTTTATTTAGAAGTACAACGCTTGCACTGTTTTTCACTACCCACCATAAGCCGAATGACTTATCCGTGAATGGTTACCATTGTGGCCTTTGTGTTGGATTATGGGGGTACTGAGGGTAAATAGGCGGTTCAAGGGAATGTTCCTTTAGCTTAGTGAATGTGGTAAAAGCTCAATCTGCAAAGAAAACCCAGTAACGTGCAAGAAAATTACAAATAAAAACAGTATTTTTGCTTGCACATGATTGAATGATAGAAGTCAGCAGAGCTTGCACCCCGCTTGGACATCATTGCACATCCGTGTGATGTCATCGCACATCTGTGTGATGTCATCGTATATGCGCGAGGTCAACTCGCAAATGTCTAGTGATGTCGCGTGCGCTTACCTGCTGGCAGTCTTCTTGGTGATGAACGCTGGCAAAGAGAGGAGGGTATGTTCACCCGGTGGGATAAGGTATGCCTCCAGGTCCCCTTGTCTCTCATGCAACTGTTGGGCTCCCGGTCCATGACCGAGTGCCTGACTTTTCAGAGGGGGCGACACCAAAATGGTGTCACTCAGTGTGGGCCGCACCCTCCACGTGATGCCACTGATGTAGTTCAAATAAGCAGTAACCTCTCCAAAAGATTTCTGGACATTTCAATTCTAGTCAAAGCACATGACTGTATTATCTGTTAGAATTGAGCTTTTCTGGATACCAGCCATGAGAAAAAATGGGTGTTTACCCTATGCTAATATTTCAGAGCATTGAGATTCATGGTTTTCTTTCTGAATAGAATGTGTTCATTTTATTGGTTATGTTGTATTTTACATAATAGTGTTACACCCTTTTGGGATGTCTGTGTTAATTACTTTAACTTTTGCACACAAAAACTTTAAAAGCTTGCACACAAAAAAGAATCCTTGGAAGAATTTCTGTATTCTATTTGTTCTCACGCACATGTTAAAATAAGGTATTGAATACCCATAACAAGGAGTTTGTGTTCCTGGAGAAACAGACATGGTCTGCATTGCCAGGACATGTTGCAGCACTTATATCCTAGTTATAGCATCAGTTCCTGCTAGGGGCATAACATGCATTAAATATGTACAGTATGTTCTATATTGGTGTGGGGTTACTCAATCTGCACCAGTTCCAAAAAATTCTACAAGGACACTCCCAAAAAGCACTCCAGGAAAACACATGATGAGTATATTCGAATTGTATTAATACTGTTGGATTTGTGCTATTACATCTGAATGGATATTCTTGTCAGCTGTTGCTGTGGAAAGCATTTATCATCACTGCTCTTACTCCATGATTTATTTTTATTATCCTTATGATGGAACTATAGCTCTGTTGGAATAGGTATTATATTCCATGCTTTGACACTGCTGCATAAGCATTGTGGACACCTCTTCATATCATCTACACCTGGTTTTCATACAAGACGGAATTTGAAATACATGCTGCACTATTTGGCAGATATTTACCCGGTATCACTGCTGTGTCCCTAATGGACTTTTCAACTTGTCAGTGAACTATGTTAAAATAACTATGTTCTGGCAGCTACCTATGGTATGACTGCCATGTTAAAGTGACATTCTTTAAGATAGAGAACGACAGGCACATTTAAATAGTGGTACTTGGATGACAAGCATAGTTGATTCTTGTTGGTGTTTTTCTATGATGGACATAGACAACTGAGTGGGAGGCACTACATTTCCATGCTAGATGAAAGGTAGTGTTGCAGTTAAGTGAATCCCCTACTCCTGTATGGATCACTCACAGCAGCATGCCATGATTTTGTGTATGATATACACTTGTAGATGGGATTGAAGATACAAGGATATCTTATTTAATTTCATCATTATCCGGTTACAGTGAACACATCCAGAGAATGTGATTATAAGTAGCACACCCGACTTTGATTATGTGTGGAGTGATCCTTGTGTTAGAGTATAATCCCTACAGGAATTACATACATAATGGTGATTTGGACAACAGCGAGTGATGAATAATATCCAGTGGGGAAATAATCTCTGTGAAATTTGGATTTTGAATGTTTGGGGGTTTAGCATTGTTTTTAATCATTTCTGCCTCTCTTCATTGAATACATTTTGTACTTAGTGACGCATATGGTGGTTGCAGGATTCATAAATATATACATCTAGTTTTGCAGGTAGTTTGTAGAGTCTGAATTTAAACTCCAAATTCAGTGAAGGCTTTGATAAAAATGTGTCTATTAAATCTTTTTTGGATATGTCAAAAACATCTTAGCTACTTAAAGCAAATACGTGCTGTAACCCTGCAAGGCAAATAAAAGTATTCCCTTTAAAACACCCCCCCACACCACCCTCAATAAGCTACTAGCTGCAGAAGTCATAGCTTACTGAGGACTATGGACTCTTTCCCTGTTATAATGCTGTTTTAATGATGGGCCCAGTATTGTCATGTGGAGTGAATCACATGATCCTCTATACCTGGAAACAGAGTTGAATTAACTATTAAGCAAAACAGGCATGTACTTAGGGCACCAAGGGAAGGGGACACCACAGTGTTTTTCCCTTTAAAGGATAAGTGCACTTTGAGCTAATCAGTCTCCCCCTCCACAGATGTGTACTTTCCAAGATCCGACTGCTGTGGCCTCCATTGTTTATATACATTCGACTCTGCAAGTCTTTTCTCTCCTGACCCATAGCATATCACAACCCCATAGACTTCTTCTTGCCTGTAGACAAAGATAGACAAGCCCCATAGACTTCAAACTTTAATTTCAGTTTCATCACTTATTGGGTTTTAATTGTCTTGTCATGTAGCTGCGCTTAGACATCAGTTGCCCTTAATCTGGCCCTGCCTGTAAATATTTTTTTTTGTTCCCGGTGGCTGAACAGAGTGGTAGGAGAGCAAAGGCAAACACAGTATGTGTTGCTGGGTAAGAGGGCAGTCAACCAAACATTTTGCTTTGCCCAGCATGGGCAAAGCACTGGTTTGCTTTATGTAGCTTTTAAGCAGGTATAAGTGCAGAGGGCACAGCAAGCTTCTTCTAGGATATATATGTATTCTGTAAATGGTTCAGATTTCTCTAAAGGAAATAAATGTCAAGAATATATGTTCAATAAACGTCACAAACATTTTAAATAAAGCTTGAGCTCAAGTAATTGTTTTTTTTCTGGTATGAAGACCTTGGCTCTGTGACTGCAGACATGAGAGTGGGGAGATTGCGTCTTTCCTCCCCATATCTTAATTGTGTTTTTTCTGAGGGATCATACATCTGCACAGTGCCTGAGCTATCTGCATCCTGATGAATGAGCAGTCCACACTGGAATATTTTGTTATTGATGATGCTGCATGATATATGGAAGAAGCGCAGGAAAAATGAGCATTGTGTGTAAAGATAATTCCACAACATCGCTAAAAGATATCTCAACAACAAATACATCACCACGAATATTTCATTTTCCTGGAACGAGGTGCAGGCGGTGGTCACATGTCATGTAGTAAGGATTAACTTCAGGGATTTAATTCATCAAGAAGACAAACAAACCGAATTTATGTTGTATTACAGAGACAGAAATTAATGTTGCGCTCAAGGGGAAGCGCACAGAAAAATATTACAAAACAGGTTTCATGTAAGGTTTTGTGCAATGAAAATGGCACATTCAAAACCGACCACATTGGTATGGGGAAAATGGGGCACAGAAGGTTTTGTTTTTTTATCAAATCTTGTTTCAGTGGCTTGTAAGCTCTCCTCAAATTACTACGAACAGTGGGCTCACAATACAGCATTGTGCATTAAACTAGAGGATTCTCCCAAGGAATAGCCAAGCTCAGTGATATTGTGCTGAGACAACATCTTTCTGGAGAGTCCCTGGTGAGCAATGAAAGTGTTTTTTAGTGAAGATGCACTTCAAAGGGAACCAGTCACCAATGGGCATTTGTGTTTTTTTATATTAGTTACTTGCATATCTTACTAACTAAATAGTATGATTTTAAGTGTTAAAAAGAAAAAAAATTAAATTCAAAATACATTAACCCCTTACAATCTCTCACATTTGGATTTAACAAAGTCAATTACCTAAAGGAAAAATTCATATTGTTTGATAAAAGGTTATAGCTCTATACTACCAATGTTGTGCAAGCCCCCCTAGTAACTCTGCTATAGTTACTACTTTATTCCGTTGAACAGTATCCATAGTATATACTATTTTAGTATAAACTAAGTTAAGCATATGAGTCAGTGTTTATGTACCTACGTATTCCCTGGTACATGCCCCTGATACCTGTAAAAATTGCCTACATACAGATAGCGCATACATTAACCCCAAACTAGAAAAGGTATCTAGATGACACATTTTGAAAAGATGTTCCTCTTCTGCAAACTAACAATTCTATACCTCACAACATTTTGAGATGAGGAAGAAGGATACCTTTTAGTAAAAATTGAGCAGCCAAAGAACACAGCTGCCAATCCATTAAACGTCAATAAAATGTAATATGCAGAAAATGATTGGTTCAACTAACAAGATTAAATGCAATTATTAGAATATAACATTTTTATTTTTTTATTTATATGCATGAAACCAAAAAGAGGGATGACTGAGGAAGAAAGAAGGACAGAGGGTTTTGGCTTTAAAAGAGAGAGCGTCCCTTCAAATAGGTTGCTATGCCTCTCTATGCAATCGGACTGAAACAGTAGGCAGGGCCATGTCAGTGATTTATTTTAAAAAGAGCAATGCATGGATACTATTCTCTATTTATTTACAGTACATGCCCATTTGTTAGGCTGTTTATTTTACGTTCTAATTCCTTGAAATAGACACAGCCTTGCAATCAGGTAACAATTTGTTATTAACATACATAGGTGATGAGGTAGTGAGAAAGATTTCATAACTAAACCTATTGGGTCAATCATACTTGACCTGTGCCACTATTGTAGAAATTGTGGCATGGATTGACTGCTACTGTTTTAAAAAAAAAAACGTGGCATATATTTAGGGATGCACCGATACTTTTCGAGTACCATACTTGGCATTTTCAAGAGAACTTCCAGGGTTGCAGCGGTTGCAGCTGGGACCTAGCTCTGGCGCTCCACCACTGTCCTGAAATCATTAGTCTGTATTGTTTTAGGAAAACTGTCACATGACAATAAACAAAAATGGATCAGTACTCATACTTGTAAGTACTTGGGCACGTACCAGTACTTGTACTTGCAAAAATTGAATTGGTGCATCCCTTTATTTATATTTATAAAACCAAAATCATACATTAAAACAGAGATGTACAAATCCCAGAAGCTCCGTGTGCTCCTTACAAATGACAGCTGCCTCCTAACTTTTGAATTTTTCTCTAGTCTAGTCTTGGAGCTCAAAAAGTATCTGTACTTGTACTTGTAATGAGTACGGTACTTGGTATTGGTGCATCCCTACATATATTGATTGCTAAACTGCAAGCCTCATGCAAAACCTCAGAATTCAAATATTAGCAAGGGTATTGGCATTCACATGTCATAACTCCTAGGACTGTATATCACCCGAATGTGTCACTCTAGCAACTGGAAATGAAAATCAAACAGAAAGAAGCCATAAACAAAATAACTAAGCACTTATATGAGAAATTGAAGCTCAACTTGGAGACTAAATTGGTCACCTTAGTTATGAAACATAGTGCAGGCATTGCAAGTGAATAAAATGGAAATATCTCCTCCAAGTTATGGCTTATCAGAGGAACAGCAGGGAGAGATCTCAGAACTAATAAAAATCCACTTGCAATTTAAAACATGCAGATAAGGAGAAATGTATTTTATATGATATATTCTCTCTCAGACAGCTCTTCTGTGGGACACGGCAGAAATGAAGATAAGCTCTCTGTTCAGATCCATATGTCTTCCTGTGAGAACAGAGCGCAGACGCCGAGTATCGCCAGAGCCAACATTACAGGTGAGACCACAATTCCCTTACGCTGCGTTTGCATTGACTTGATAAAGATATGGCTTCTTAAGGTGGACCTTTTATTTAGTAGTAGGCGTAGTGCTATAATGGAAGAAGACAGAGATAGACATTGTTTGGTTCTTCCAGTAAAAGCAGTTTTGTACTTGGTTCTCCCAGCATATCAGGTGCTAGTGTAGTTTAGCTGTAAGATGATTAAGGCCTGCTTGGAACTTGTATAATTCCTGCCAACTCATTTTCCTCGTTACTGTTGCTTCATTGTCATGTTAGGTTATAGCTGCAACAGGTGCAAATGTATTCCTCAGAAGAAGGAATGGTAGTAGGACCGCTGCCAACCATGTTTCAAATTAAAAATAATAATTATTGATCTAAAAAATCTTGTATCTGAAATAATAAAAAAAAATGTAAAGAAGAGCTAAACATGCATGTAAGTGCTCCCTGACAAAGCAATGAGTACAGCAAGAAACATGTTAGAGTCTTATCTTGTATCCTATGCTGATTTGGAGTAAAGGAAAGACGTTTCCTGGTCTTCTCTTTTTCTTCATATGCATGTAAATGCAACCGGCTAAATTGCTGAATTCCTGTGCTTGTAATTATTGAGCTTATTTAGAAAACTAGATAAACAAGTTATATGTCCTTTTCCATAGTACAACATATAATAATGTTTAAGAGGCCTGAGATACCAATTAGTAAGGGACCCCATGATTTCCGATGGTGGCCATACATAAGAGAGAGCAAACTTGAAAAGATTGCTGTAGTTTTTATTCTCTTTATTACAACTACACAGAACATCATTGTTGGCGATACCTAACTGTCTCGCAACCAAACCTCACTGCATTCCTTTCTACTGTGGAAAGTGCACATAATTTAAAGTTAAAGTGATTGGACTTACACATATTTGAGGCTAAGGGTTAACACCAAATGTCCAAAACATGCTAAACCCCTAATAACTATAGAAGAAAACATGAAGAGTTCTCATCTCTCCCACTTTGCTCCTTTCTTCAAGGTAGACTTTATTCATACTTGTTACTCCTGGGCCGTACAACAAAGATAGTATTTTAAGATACAATTTCATTTTAATTATTTAGCTTTACAGCTTTCACATGTTCCATGAAAAGAACAGAGTGGGATGAGAATCAGCAGGGGGGGCATGTTGTGTTCCTATAGTAGAGAAATATAAAACAGAACTTGTGACTTCCTAGTTGTTTGTATTCTGTTTCTGTACTCTGATGTATAATATACATAAATATTCACAATGTTATTCACCCATTCTCTACCACAAAAAAGAAATGCTCATTTCCAGGTCATAAATGAATGTTTGTAGAAAAATAAACTCACATCTGTTTTCTGGCAGTGTAAAGGCTCCAAAAGCAACTTTTCCTTTATTGAAGAGTCCAATTTTTATTAAAATGTACATATGAGCTAAAATAACAACTGTCAACATTTTAGATCATTTACCTGAAAGTCAATGAGGTTTTAATTAGATTGCAGATAACATCTAATCTTACCAGCATGTTCAAAAAGTTATTTTAGGGCCAGGGTGAATAGACTTTTGTTTCCATAAGAACTGCTTCTCTCCCCCATACATGTCTATGGAAATGCAAAAGCAGCTTGAAACAGATCAGAAGAATTGTAACTGCATGTCAATTACACCTGTCAATGAGTTATTGCCTTGTAGTGTGACACCCCTCCTAGTGGTATCTGCCGGGTGGAAAACTTTTTGGTGGCCTAGTGCGGTGTGGTACCCAAGTAACCTACCCACTCCTTTCCTGACAAGAGTCCAAAGCGTTGATAAAATGATTAACATCAAGCTGATTTCTTTTACAAATGTATACCAAAACATTTAATGTAATATCTTTTGTTTTACTAGGCTCTGGCTACATTGCTTTTCTTCTAGTCCAGAAATGACAGTGACCGTACATCACAAAAGTAGTACATACATACACAAGAGATGGACAGTAACAATCATCTTTTAGGTTTAGCAACAAGTCCGACAATTTTCCCTTTGATTTCGACAGTAAAATTATTGGCCATGACAGTCCTCCTGCAGTGTATATGCTGTGATATCAGGCCAATTATCCAATATTGATGTTAAGATTGCTACACTGTCTATATTTGCAGTGGCTCAATGACATCTTTGTTGTCCGGAACCCACATTTAGAGAATTCAAACTTTCTCAATTAGTTTTAACAAAGCCTTGCTTTCCATCTTTTGACTTTTAAAACAGTAGAACCTAATGAACTGTTTAATCTGTTCACTCACATAAACGCATGATTATCGATAGCAGCACTTGCATGGAAAGCCTAGGACTCCTAAAAGAAATAGAACATGACAAAACCATCTCTCTGAGCTCAGTCATTAGTCCTGTACCGCAACACACATTAAGAGGCGTACATTGGAGAGCAGCTGTGCAACACGGATATCAAGCTTTCTTTAAACAAGATAAATGGACATCATCATTTTAATGCAACCATTTTGGAACGCACTGAAACACATAAATCATTTGGGTTCCTTTTTACGTATTAAAGACTGTTGAAAGTTTGCTTTTCTCTCTACGTGGGTATTGTTTAGGCTTTTAGGCTGTCATTCTTATGCTTAAAGTGGGTCTAAAAGGATTTTCACATATAGCTCTTTATCCATGACAGCTAGTGGATGTTATCTAGGCTAGATATTTTTTGGCCTAGAGAGTGAGCATTCTATATGACTCTGTAATGCCAATGACATGTACACAATAGCAGAGGATTATGGAAAATAATTGAGAGCCTGAAGTTTCAGCGTCTTTATGTTCCTAAAAGAAAGGTTTAGCTGTTACTATTGCCATTCATAGAAAAACATAGACACATCTCTTATTAAATTACCAGAATCGGTGTGCAAAACCTACGCCAAGATGTGCAGAATTTACTTGTGACTTTCAGTGCAGGTTCTGCCGCTGCTTGTTGTCGAAAAGGCCTGTTAATATAACTGCTGTTTGAATTTGGTCCTGGTTCACATTACACAGGAATCTGAGTGTTAGGGTATATTCCTATGTGTCAAATGTTAATGGCGTTATTTGTATTTGGAATACAAACGTGATACTTCCAGAACATTGCATCTAGGTACAGAAAATGTAATTGCATATATTGTACGATCTTCGCATTATCCTAAAATAGATACATCGAATCAGTGTTTTTGTGAGCACATGAGAGCTGGCTTTCAGGACAGTTCTAGCACCTAGCAAGGTATGTGTTGTCCATTATGGATTTGATGCTAAGTGTTATTGTTTAGGGTAGTGGTAATCAACTTAAAGAGTATAGGAGGCCTCAACTGTGGCTCTGATGTCCTGAAGGAAATATTACAGAGACTGCAGACATATTACAAACAAGTGATACATGGTCACAGCATGCGGACATGCTACAGGAGCGGTTGGAGACTGGATACATGCTGCAGGAGACAGAGACTGACACAGACTATGTGAGAATTCTGCCATGACAAGTCACTTCACACGTCAGTGCTCACACTATTAACTTCTGGGATCTGAAGACCACGGAACAAGTTCTACAAGGTCATATGCAGCCCTTGGGCCACAGGTTGGGCACCAAGTGTTTAGGGGGTAGAGTAGACTTGTTATTTCCCCATGTATGACTAAGCAGCAGGCTTACTTTATAGGAGGTGTCTTCAATTGCCTGTACTTACTTTTCCTATGTAAGCTCCAAGCATTTTTATTTCTGTCTGTAATGCTGTTGGGGAGTTTTCCCCTCACGTTCTGTCTTGTGATCAGCCTTTTAACCAGACAGGAAGTGAACACATCTCTTCAATAGAACCCTAACTGCAGTAAAACATGGCAGTTCTAATCATTCCCCACTCTACCAAAAACTAGATTACAAGTATTGGGTATAGATATAGTTTAAGCAGCTAATCACCAAGCACCACTGCTGTCAAGTGGGAGAAAGGGGGTTCAGTCACATGATCCATTATACCTGAATATACCAGGAATGGCACAGGTCATTGGGGAGTGAAGGGAAGGTATGAATCAGCTTTTATACTGGTCAAAAGCTCTAACATAAACCTTTTGCTTTGTCCTGCATTGGCAATGCTTATGTATTTGACTTGGGGAAACCAGGAATATAAAGCCTTCCTACAGCTAAGTGGTGATAACTAATAAAGGGAGCTAAAGCTGCAATTAGATATATGCTGATTGACAATGGTTGAGAATTGTGCAACCCATGTGCACAGTGTCATCAATGGGTGATATTAGAGAACTGCAGCTACATACACCATTTTAAAATACTGGAAAAGTTCCACCTTTTTTATAGTTGATATAAAAAAGAAAGGAGGTAAAGGAAAAGGAAATACTGATTTATTCTGTACAATGTGAGTTGAGCTCAAGACTGCCAAATAAGGAGGAAGAGCAATCTGTTGACCTCATCTGCTCAGAATCATTGGCTCTTTTTGGTCCCATGCAATTCCATCATAGTCTGCTATTGCTAGTACTAACACATACTTGCGTTTTTCTCTTCATGATAATTTTCCCCTGGCAGACAGCTAGTTAACCTGCCTATCTATGCACCAGTTGGATATTTCAAGATACTCTCTTTGTCAAGCACATTAGGTTAAACCATGGTCAGAAAGACTCCATGAAATACTTATCTTCATGCATTTTTTATTTGTGTATCGTTCTTCACGAGGGCCTAAAATTTGAAAGTCAAATTAAAACTGGCGCTAATGGGCCTCTTGGGATCTTCTTTAAAAAAAGTTCCTGAAGTTTTCAGTGGAATCGCACAGGCCCATCACATGAGCCTCCGGTTCATTTACATTCCTGAGTCACCGTCAGTGAAAAGTATCACTGAACGATTACAATAAATGAAGCATGTTCAAGTTGAATTACATCAAAGGAGGAAAAGCCTTAAAGGACTGACTGCAAGGCAGGTGTTAATTATAATTTCAGACTTGTGAATTTCTCACACATTATTATAACCCAAACTGACAATGAAATGCAAATGAATTGCCCATAGCTATGACCACTATATTCCATCAATTATTAAGAAAATTGCAAGTTTGTGTAAAAATCTTAACTGGACAATATTTAATTTCCTCTCCGGTCTCCAAATCATTTAAGAATGGAAGAAATAGAGAAACCAATGTAATTCTGATTATTTTTCTCTGACAAGCATATTAAAACTATGAAAAGGTATAATTAAATAGTCCAATTATGATTTTATTTACCTTGAAAATACATTTTATATTTGCAATTGTATTTTTACTTTTGAAAGCTTATAATTTATATTATTTTACCTGTTTATATAATAATGGACGGTATTTTGATATGTACATAACTAAACTTAAGGGGTATCTATCTATCTATCTATCTATCTATCTATCTATCTATCTATCTATCTATCTATCTATCTATTAGAAAGGGAACTTACCTGAACTAAAAATTAACAGCCCTAAAAAATAATCCCACTCCTTCCTTAAAGGGTCTATAAACCCAAATACTGAGGTTCTATAAATAGTTCCCTATATGGCTGATAAATAAAATAGTGCAAGCATTTTTTAGTACTGTTAGTAAAGTTCTAATAAATACCCGATGAACTTGACAGTTTTTGCATCTTCAGTGGACTTCCTCTAATATTATTTATTTATTACAGGTATTTATATATAGCACTGACAATTTACGCAGCGCTTTGCTTAGTTGCACATTCACATAAGTCCTTGCCCTTAAGGAGCTTACAATTAAAGGTCCCCATCTCACATACAGGGCCAATTTAGACAGGACCCAATTAACCTACCAGAATGTCTTTGGAGGGTGGGAAGAAACTGGAGGAAACCCATGCAAGCACAGGGAAAACATGCAAACTCTTTTGCAGATAGTGACCTGGCCAGGATTAAAACCAGGGACTCCCAAGTGCTGCAAAGCAGAAGCGCTAACCACTAGGCCACTTTGCTGCCAGACTGACAACTGTCAGCACAGAATGCTAACACTCCCTCCCATGTGCAAACAGTTTGCGCTATATAAATCCTGTATAATAATAATCATATTTACAGGAAGCTGATATGAGGTCAGACTCAGGTACTTCCAGTAGCTGCATTTAACTTTTATTTATATGTTTTAATAACTACATGACTATATAACTGCGTTTTTTATCTGTCCTGAGTTCAAGTTTAAAACAAGCAAGCAGGGCTGATATATCTTCAGTTAAATAACTGCAGGCCGCAGCATTTGCACACAAATGCGAATTATAGATCAGGAATCTCTTGTGTATCACACTTGAGAAACCAAAAATCCACTAATTATAACCAATTGTTAGGAGGATTTTCCATGGCACGTTATCACCTTTCATGTGTTTTATCTTCCAGATGAGTGGGTATTTCCTGACACTTCCCAAGATGATGCATCCAAACTGTCTGACAACCAACATCAAACAGACATCAGTCTCAGCTGTCACCAGCCGGAAGATAGCAGCCAAAATGACACCAGCTATCCTGCAGATGGGGCCCCCGAGGACCCAGATGAAGCATCCCCTGCTTCCTCAATGATTTGTACAACATCTCGTGGGAAACTTCAGGCCTTTCAGTTTTCCAGAGACGTCGTCTCTCCAGATCTCCTGGAACATGACGGACGAGGAGCGCAAATGGAGGACGATTTCTATGGAAGTGACAGCAGCACGGAGGTAAATTTGTTATTTAATCATAAAAAAAACATGGTTGTGTATTGTGAGAAAAGTATTCTGGTCTTGTGTTTAAAAACAACATAATCAGAACAAATTGAGTGCTGGGCCAAAGGCTTGCAAGGATTCCAAATTTACCTAGCATATTGAAAGGTCAGTATACTCGAATATGATATTGCAGTTGGCGGGCTCTGGCGGATAAAGTTAGCTCCTGGTTTCTTATGCTTTGTGGACATTCCTAGTTGCTACCCCTTTCCATAGTTCCTGACCATCTGGGAGCTTTGAGTGTTCCTGTACACTTGTGTGTGTCAGAGCAAATTGAGTGCTGGCCCTGAGGCCGGCAAGGATTCCAAATTTATCTAGCATATTAAAAGGTCAGTGCACTCGAATCTGATATTGTAGTTGGTGGGCTCTGGCGGATAAAGTTAGCTCCTGGTTTCTTATGCTTTGTGGACATTCCTAGAGCAAACCCCTTTCCATAGTTCCTGACCATCTGGGAGCTTTGAGTGTTCCTGTACACTTGTGTGTGTCAGAGCAAATTGAGTGCTGGCCCTGAGGCCGGCAAGGATTCCAAATTTATCTAGCATATTAAAAGGTCAGTGCACTTGAATCTGATATTGTAGTTGGTGGGCTCTGGCGGATTAAGTTAGCTCCTGGTTTCTTATGCTTTGTGGACATTCCTAGAGCAAACCCCCTTCCATAGTTCCTGACCATCTGGGAGCTTTGAGTGTTCCTGTACACTTGTGTGTTCCAGAGCAAATTGAGTGCTGGCCCTGAGGCCTGCAAGGATTCCAAATTTACCTAGCATATTAAAAGGTCAGTCCACTCAAATCTGATATTGTAGTTAATAGTTATATGCGGGTTCTGACGGACAAAGTTAGCTCCTGATTCTTACTGTTGTGGACATTACATAAAATCACATAAAATGAATAGAAGCTTCAACAGAGATAGATTGAGGTCCTCTAAATAACCACAGAAACTCGGCAATCTCAATAAAGGAAAAGGAGTCCCTGAAATGTAAAGAAAAGTCAAGTGGTTTAACTGTCCAGCATCTACTAAAACCTGAAATATCGCTGTTGGGTGGCATCATCCAACTTTGTGAATTCCATCTGTATCTTTACCCTTGATATTAAATATATTGTAGCAACAGTAGTTCCGACAGGCACATGCCCCTAGAGGCACCTTCCATAGAGGGGCACCATGCATGTACCTACTCTGCCTAATTCCCGAGTTCCTAATTTGGAGTCAGAGGCAGCAGTGCCTTAGATATCACACTGCAGATATACAGATATAAGGCTATAGGGACAGGAGTGCCTAGGCACACTAACATACCAGGAAGTGCATTGCTATTTTTCGGACATAATTCCAGGCATAAGGGAGAATTTTTCAGGGTATGGCTTAGGCACAATTAGCACTTCTAAGTATTCCCTGTGTAAATTGTCAACTTTTGGGTTCCAGTCCACTTTAAGAGGCTAATTAGTATTAGGCATTTTTTATGAAATCTTTCACAGCATGCATGTTGTTAGAATTGGCTTTTTGTATGTGAATTGCCTAATCCCATTTAGCAGAGAATGTTTTAGTGCAGCATAGTACACTTTTTTCCATAATAGATATTAAAATGCGTGTTTCAGCATTCCCCAAGTATGACGAAAAGACATTAGCACAGATGAGTATTGCCAAGAGCTTGTTCATTGATCGAACTGTGCAGATGTGCTATTAGAAACACAGCATATTTTCTCCATCATCTGTCATTTCAAAGAGCTACTCAACATTCCAGAGTCATTTGTTATATATGGACAAACCTTTCAATGATTTATTTGTTTATGATCAATGACATCTGCGCAGAGTCTCCTCTAAATCATTTTCATGTCAGTTATGTAGGCTTGGAACATGGACATTACTTACAAAGCAGCATGAATCATCGCTGTAATGTACAAGGTGGTCATAAATGGACTCACACTATTTAAAATAATATAACAGATTGGTAATAGCAATATTTGGTATAAAGGTTATTGTAGTTGCTTGGGTCAGTTGTACAAATACTTTTTGAAGATAGCTAAAGGTGCCTTCAGACATTCTAAGAGTATATGCTGTCACTTTGAGAATACTGAAAGCTGCTGACAGGTATAAAAGTCATGTACCCTAGGATTCCTGAACATACAGTATGAGAAGCAGCTTCATCCAAATACTGGGCTGTTCTGATCAGAAGAACTTGCCCTTTCTCCTTCCATACATCCCTGTTGTCCAGAGAGGCAGCCCATCGATATAATGAGGCATATTGGATGCCTGCACTTTACACCTGTGCAGATTTTAATATTGTTAAAGTGTTAGAGTTTCTTTAACCTTGCCTCAGGCAATAACAGCTAGTGGCACATGCATGGAGGGGAGGAAGAGGGAAAGGGTGTAGAGTACTGGATGTACTATATGTCTATGGAAAAAAGCAAGTCACATAGCAGGTAGCAATGAATGTTCATTTTATCAGATCACATGCAACCTGTTTAGTATAAAGGTGCCCATACACCTTACAACCATCACACAACTTTCGTTGTGCGACGGTTGTAAAGTGATTAAAATTTCGTATGGCCTGCCCATCATGGACAGGCAGATCGTACTTACAATCATCACAAGTCCTCCCCGCTGAGGGGAGGGCTTGCAGATTATTGCAATGGTGAGCGGTCAGTGTGCGCTTGCGCACCTCGTGTCGTGCAGCTTTCATCTTGTGATCGCACTACTTTTCTAGCGTGCTCATTATACGAAAAGCGTACGACCTACAGTAAATGTGGTCACACGCTGCCCATTAACCTTACCATTATCATACGATCGCAGGATCACACGCGATTATCGTACGATAATCGTCAGGTGTATGGGCAGCTTAAGTCTGCTTATTGATCTAAGTATTTTGGCAAAATATGGCATGGACTGTATGCAATGCTGTCCCTTTTATCCCTCATTGAGGGGCAACCGAGTGCTGGGGGGAGCAGGCCACAGTGTCCTAGCTTGCTAAGAGCTCTTAGCATTCTGTGACGCTCTGTGTGGCTTCCCACCCAGCTCACTGACGTCACCGGTTGGCAGAAACTGGCTGGCTTTCGTCCCACCGAGCTCCTGGCAACCGATGACATCAGTGAGCTGGGAGATGCTAATCAGAGCTGTTGACAGTGCAGTCTGGCATCTGAAGGCACCTAGATGACAACTCAACACAACAACCCCCACACTTCACCTGGCCATCTCCCCTGGCACCATTCACTGCCTGCACCCCCAGTTTCCAACTCCCCCAATGACAGCACATCACCTCAGGCAGCGCATACCTTAGGCGCATACCAAAAAAAGAGTAGAAAAGCTTTTCTATGTCTTCCATGGCTGTGATATACTAACTATTCTCTCCTGGAACCCCACTGAGGTTCTGTGTCATATCGTAAAGCCTGTAGAAACTTTTCACAATATTTATTAATACAACAAAAGGACATGAGTTTGCAAATACAAATGAAAAATAACATAGTTTTTCATCCATTCTTAATAACTGCAATATGCAACTTTGTAAAATCCTCTAGTGAGTTCTCACTTGATGTTCTGGGAACACCTGATACTGAGCCTACGATTTTGCAAGACATGGATTCTTAGATACACTAGTGAAAGTTTTATTATAGCCTAGTAAATATATCCCCGAATATTCATAAATGAATTATTCGGATCACAACTTTACTTTCAGTGCTGTTATAGGACATTTTCCATTCAGTTCACCCTCCCCTGAGTTCTCTTTTGTCCTCTGTGCCCAGTTTTCACTTACTATCTAACAAGCTCAGTAGGAGGAGCGGAAAGATTAGACTTCCTGAAGACTTCCACCCCAGGGCAGATTTTAATCTGATTCGTGGCTTTGTCATACTGATTCATGGCTTCTGTGTTGTATGGGAGAGGCAGCAAGGATGGTATTGCAGAATCTAGCTCAGACATGCTCCATGGTCACCAGATTATTAACAAACAGGGTTGGGGTGCACTGGTGCAGTGCAGCAGTACCTGGGTATAAAACAAGTAGTGGGCAGCTAGTCTGAGCTCCTTGCATGTATCTTATGCCTTCATTTTCAGTTATTTCTAAGGTCTACCTTTGAAATAGAAACTTCTTTAATACACACCCACAATACTTTGTAACTCTATTTGAGACTTTCTTTTCCCAGCCAAAAGACCTGTAGTCCAATAAACTGCACTGCAGCAAAGCTCATCACATGTCAATATCATTTTATAATTTCCGTCTGAACACCAGCGTGACAATGTCTTCGATGCTTCATGCATACCGGATTCCCATTTTTAAATCCAGTCACAGCTACAGACACTTATATTTTTTCTATGGCAATTAGGCTGGTAGACAGACTGATTAAATAAATGATTGAATAATGTGACGTTGATTTCTGTGTAATAAATTCAATAACCTTGCATACTGCAGTACATCATGCTTCCAATTCTTTCTACACAACCCCACTAAGTTTGCAGTTGCATTAAAAATGTAATATATAGGTGCACTCCTTACCGGTATAGGATGTTCCTTGAAATCCTGGTGAGTGCTCGTAGTGACCACGGATGGCGCCGTGAACCCAGCATTTAAAACACGGTTTTTTACTTTGCCGTAATTCAGCATGTCTAATCTGGGCAATTTTGGGCAGCTGTTATTGTGTTTACATGTATGTATGTATTCCACGCAGGGGTTACTGATATACTGCTGTTATGTTTACCAGTGATGATGTCCCACTGCTATACCACTAGAGCGTGTTAGTGTTAATAACCGCTGTCCCCCGTTTCCACACAGCGCATGCGCAGGTGCTATCAGTCGATGATGGTACTCAGACATTAAACACCCTGCGTTCCACACGGCAGAAGTGCTGGTGGACGGGAGTGGAGCTGGCTCACTGCTAGGCCTCATGTCTCCACAGTAACCGACTGTTGTGTTTCTTAACCAACAGCTGTGACAGCGGTGCACATGGTCTCGTACATGTGCAAGCTAATGTATGCAAATTTTGCTGCTAAAAGACTGTTTGTGATTTGGTGCCTGCAAGGGGTAGGGGGTTCTTTGGTGTTTGCACATGTTTGGGTGTGTCTATTTAAAAGGTACTGAACATTTTGGTTGTGTCATTCTGAGCCTGATGAAGGGGACCCCGTGCGGCCCCGAAAGCGCTTGTACTGGAATGACAGTACTCCATTAATCAATGGACTTTTGTTGATTTCACTTAAATGGTCTGCTGGTGACATCCTTTTGCAAACTCATTACAAATGTTTCCCATATATCTGTAAGAAATGCACAGAAATACGCTCTGGACAATAATAAACCTGGCTCTGTTGTGTACTATGGTTGTACCTCGGTCTACATCTGTACCATGATGGTTTAATTGTAATACAGAAATTGTTTTTAGTGTTAGATACACACTTGGTGGCTTCTTAATTATTATTATTATACAGGATTTATATAGCGCCAACAGTTTGCGCAGCGCTTTACAATATAAAGAAGACATTATAATCACAATACAATTCAAGACAAGATGATAAGGAGAGCCCTTCCCATGGGGGCTTACAATCTAAAAGGGAGGGGCAAGTGATACATGAGGAGGTAGCTGTGTGGGGATGAATTGTTTGAGAATGTGATGGTTCAGTGGTTACGTTGAGGTGGGATAGGTATAGGTATTAGGTATACTAAGGAAGTATAGAGAACATTTCACATTTTCTTGGGGGTAGGGGGGTTCAAATTAATAAAAGGGGCACCCCTTTGAACGTCCATGTGATCTAGGACTTATGGTTAAGTTATAAATGCTTCACTACAGTATGAACATAACATACCACATTATGATCCTCATATCATTTAAAGGAGAACTATGAGGTGAGTGCTTTTCACTCACCTCATAGTTCTAGCCGACCTGTGACAATGAGACTGCCACAGGTCGGCTCAGTAGATCGGGAGGTGAGCGAACACATACCGGCGTTCGCTCACTTCTCGATCCTGTCACAGCTCTCTGCCATGACAGGGGAGGGGCTGGATTTCCCCCTCCCCGCTCCAATCCGCCAGCGCTGACTGGCGGAACAGACGGGGCGGGTACAGCTGGCTCTGCCTCTACATAGGCAGAGCCAACTGTCACCCACGCAGCTGTGTGGATCAAGACATAATTGTCGGGATCCGCTTCAGCTGCGGCGTCTCAGTATACCGCGAGCTGTAACTCGTGGTATACTCAGCTTAGAGTGACGGGAGAAAAGCCCTAACCCCATAGTTCTCCTTTAAGCACAAAGGGGTTGATCAGATCACAGTGATCTCATGTTTATGATAGGGATGTCCAGATACCAGTTCAGATACCAGTGCCGATACTTGGTATTTTCATAAAAACTACCAGTGTTGCAGCGGTTGCAGCTGGGATCTAGCTCTGGCTCTCCACCATTGTCCTGAAATCATCATCATTTATTGTCACATGACAATAAACAAAGATGTATCAGTACTTGTACTTGGAAAAATGGTATCGGTGTATCACTTATATATATACATATTTTTTTTTAAATGGGGATGTACAAATCCCCGGAGCTCCGTATGCTCCTTAAAAATGACAGCTGCCTCTTACATTTTTCAATTTTTCTCTAGTCTAGTCTTGGAGGAGGAAAAGTATATGTACATGTACTTGTACTGAGTACTGTACTTGGTATCTGAACATCCCTAGTTTATGAGTACCCTTAGATTTCAGAATAATACTATGTTTAATGTATTATATTTCTTTCTTTCTTTCTTTCCAACAATTTAGTGCTTTTACATATTTTACATTCACATCAGTTCCTGCCCTCAAGGGGCTTATACTCTAAGGGCTCTATCTCACATACTAGGGCCACTTTTAGATAGGAGTCAATTAACCTACTAGCATGTCTTTGGAGTGTGGGAGGAAATTGGAATACCCGGAGGAAACTCACGCAATCACAGGGCGAACATGAAATTTCATATGGTAGTGTCCTGGTTGGGATTTGGTCCTAGGAGCCCAGTGCTGTAAGCTAGAAGTGCTAATCAGTAAGCCAATGTGCAAAGCCTAGTACCTTTTTTTACCTGATCATAGTGTTTGAAGAAAGGATTCACTCTGTTACACAGAGCACTGTTCTGTATTAGGACTCGTAAATTATTCATGCACAAAAACACTGAAAATTCTATGCCTAAGTGTGTATTTTTATCAAGGCACATTTATTCACACAATCAACTTAGCTTTCAAGATATTATTGAGCATGTAAGACTAGTAAGACTACCATTCTACCTCTGCATTCATCTTGTTCTTTGAACTGCGTCTGTTGTGCAACATTGTAAGATCCCCAATTATTACTTCAGCCTAATTAAAAGCTGAATAGCAATGCTTACTTACCATCAGATAAGAAATGTGGTTATTAATTTCTGCTCTTCTTTCCTGTGTATAAAGTGACAAGAAAATCTATTACACTATATTGTACATGACCATTCCAGCCAAACATGGGTCTGGAGAGCATGCTGGGCAATCTAAACCCAGACAACATTCTCAGATGTCCAGAAAAGAAAGATATTTAAAGTGTACGTCAAGCCAAGACATTTATCCTCACTTCAAGTTCTGATGACAATGTTTTAACAGCCAGCAAGTCTGGGCTGTAAGGGAAGTATCTGCCCTTCCAAATTAAACCCTTTTTAGTTCCCACCCAGGTTGACTCTCCACAATGGGTTACAGGCTCCTCGGTGTCTAACACTCTACAGCTGACCTTACTTGCCCTCCCTCTGAGACTGAATAAAATGCTCTCTAAAAGCCCACTTTGCTATTTAATTGCTGCCCTTCACATGCTTCTTCCCAGATATTGGTGTCCATCCCCTGAATCTATTTTTAAGGATTGGGCTGTTGTTGAATTGTGTCATCTGATGCATATGTAAGACCTAACGGCACATATTCATGATTCTCAAGACCAATTTGTAACGTTTGTGGAGCCCATGGGTTCTGTTTATGGACACTCAATACTTTTTCTCTCGGACAGCTGCATGTTGATTTTAGTCTTGTCTTATTGTCTTTACTGTTTTTTACAGTTTGGCGTATATTCTGGGTAGGTACATATGGCGCACACGTTCCTTTCTCTTCTTCTTCCATTTTTTTCCTATTTATTTTATCTCTGATACTATTCTTTTTCTACAAACTTTTGCCTTCTGCTTCTTTTTTTGAGTATGGTGGTACATTCGATTTCACTGCGCACTGAATTACCTTTCACATCTGCCTCTATTGGCTCACTTGCTTTCCTTTTGTTTATATGAATGTTTTCTGTAATGACTTGTCACCCGGCCTATTTTTTCTATTTTCTGAAGCTTAATAAACTTTTATTCTTTAAAAAAACAGACAGGGATTCTAATCCTTAACTACTTTATTTAAAACTAGAAACATATTTAGCTTGATACACATAACTGATTGAATGTGGCAAGGCAGCTCTCAAACACACAGGCCTCTCTCAATGGGTACCCAGAAACAACTCAAAGTATAGATGTACAAATAAGCATCAAACCACAAAGTGAGAGTCCTAAGTGCATTTAATTATTCGTAATACTGTCACATTAAAATAGCCAACAGGTGTCAGGGGCAACAAACATCCCCCCTCATCAGGGCTTAGAAAAATGGAACATGGACTTGAAAAGACTCAAAGGAAACTATAGCCAAATGGATTAACAGTATATTTGATCTGGTAAAAAACCTTCTTCTGGATTGAAATTCCAACAATGTATTCAGCAGCAGTTCTCAGAGCACGTTAAGCATGCTCTGATGATTGCAGCATCACACTGCTACAATATAAAAGTCAAATATCGAAGGACCTATGTAGCTGCAGTAAACAGGATAACACGCTATAACTCTTCACACATGTACTTCATGTGGATGAGAGCAGGTTTCTTCTAATACCATATACTAGTAGCATGAACACACTAAAGAGCCTATTTCTGCTGTTATGGTTTGGTACGAAGCAAAACAACATAGATAACGCAAATGTGCTGTTTTCATTCAACCCTTTTAATGGATTCTGATTTAAAGCCAAGATGAAATGAAAGAAGCACATATTAAAGAGGAACTGGGCTGGGGGAAAATTAGAATGAATCAACACCTGCTTACTTGCCTATGAAGTCCAGTGTTGTCTTCCACACAGCCAATTCTTCTAGGGCTTTTAATCTTTTGCACCACCATCTTGGATTTGAGATCCAGCTGTGACCTCCTGATCACTCACAGAAGGCCCCTAATTGCCCATGCGCAGGATCTGCACTGCTAGGAGAAAGGTCCTGCAGGCTCCTTAGATGTATGAAGTTATGCGCAGAGGCTGCGGGCAGGGTGCGGACTGAGGAGACATCATCCTCTCCTAAGTGGGACTACCACCACAAAGTTACTCGTTTCCTGAAGAAAAAAAAAAGCATTTCAATTGTGTGAGAGGCTGTGGGGGTAGAAAGAGGATGATGTGGAGTCTAATAGTAGTCAAGTTGGCATTGTGCAAACACACTCCATTTTTATAGTCCTACCTTAACTTTCGTGTTCTAGCATTTGTGTCGTATGTATGTATGTGCAGTCCAATGTTGCCCAGTGCTCTCCATACTCTAACAGACCTGGTCAGTTACTTTTCCTCTCTTTTTTATAGCACTATAAGGACTCATGAACACTGGCACAAAAAACAGAGATCTGTGTGGAATTTTTGTTTCTTACGGATTTGAAAGCCGCTCTATTATAGCCAAGGTGGGTGGATGCAGGGATTAATAGTGTCTGGGACAAGTTCTATCTCTACTGGTGCATTTGCCTACAGCAGCCAATCAGCTGCTATCTTTCATTTTTCCACACAAATGAAAATGTCAAAGCTGATTGGCTGCACTTCAGTTTAGGCACGTTTTGTCCATGTGCATAGCTGTGTTTAGCTCCCAAAATGCC